ACCTCATTACGTCCTTGCGAGGCTTCGCCAAGTTCACAGGGTTGGTCGAACTTAGACTCTCGGGCAATCGTGTGAAGAGCCTCGACGGCTGTTTGGATGGTTTGGCTCACCTAAAGCATCTTGATTTGAGCTACAACCGCCTTACCTCTCTTGAGGACGCTGGTTCGAGTCTTGGTAACCTCATGGCTCTTGAGAGGCTCGAGCTGCAGGGTAACAGCATAAGCCAACTGCTGGGTCTTCAACAGGTACCATCCTCCTTGTCGTCGCCGTTGCGGTCCATATCGTATTGTTGTCAGTGCTGGCGTCCTCCTCCTCCGTCTTCACCACTCAACGCTTCTGACAGCATGCCCCCCGGTGTCACTTATCTGGACCTTCGAGATAACCGCATCGAGGATTCAACACAGCTACTGTATATATCTGGGATGACTATAAAACAAGTGACTTAGATATTTTCGTGGCGCGTGACGATATTATGCCCTCAGTTGCTCATGCGTGGGTCTCGAGAGCACCGCAATACGATATGTGAAGACGCGAACTACCGTCTGATGGTGCTACAGACTTTACCGGATATCGAGGTCTTGGATGGGAGAATCGTCACGGAAGATGAACGGAGGGAGGCTAGGAGCAAAGCTCTTGTTATACTGCGGTGCACGAGGAAAGATGAGAGGGTGAAGTTACCCGCAGATCGAACAGGTGCCTTTAGGGAGGGCCGATGGACGAGGCCATGGGGGAGTTAATCGGAAGCTGTTTTGGTTGTAGTCCCAGCAGTGTGGGAATATATGCACATGGTCAACTTCATGTGTTGCTAGGAATATGGAAATTTTGGTGGAAATTATCGTTGATTTTTGTATAGTTATACCCAAATCGTCGGAGTTTTTCATAATATGGTGAGGGAACCTACGAGCTCAGTTGAGGAAACCAAACATACATTCCTACATTGAGTCGCAGTGTGGTAGACTTGAGTATTACATGGCTGATGTGCAGTATTAGCCTCTAAGACGGCAGAGTGGAATACTACTATATCCGTCCTGTTATGATAACCGATGAGCGCTTATACAGTCTGTGCTCTATTGGGTGGAGTGGTTGGGTCTGTCAGGTAGTACTCTGGCTCAACACAGCACGAGGCGGTCTGCTTCTCACTTGAGGAATCCGTGGGTGGATACGTCACGATCGACTGGATCAAGGGTGGTAGATGGGCAGTGGCTCAATCGCAGGGAGTGAGCTCGTCAGGAGAAGGCAGCGTCAGAGCCGCTTGGGGGAGGAAGGAGCAGCTTGCGTCGGAGTCAGCAGGTCGAGGCTGTCGAGAGCCTATCTACCCAAAACGACTCTGCGGAGGCGAATCGGCGAATACAGGTAAGATGGTTGGGCTTTCGTGATGATGACTCCGATGATATTATAGGGAGATGAGCATAGGGAGTGCGAGAGGCAGGTGAGGCAGCTGAGGGCGATGGTCGCGACTATGCAGGAACACTATGAAGCTATGGTAAGGTTGGCTTGAGGACATCGGCAGGGCCTTCTCCTCAGCTGAGGGAGGCCTCGGCCAGACTGGATGGTACTCGGGACCAGCTGGAGGCGATTGAGGAGGAGCGCCGTCGCCTGGAAGTAGGGCGAGGGAGAAGGTGTGGATAACAGGCGGGCTTGCAGGCTTCAGTGAAGCATGGGGAGAAGGCTAAATTGAAGCACGAGGCGGCTCTGGCGAAGGACCTCAAGCTGCTCGAGGCCGACATGGAGAAGAGGAACAGACGATTGAAGACTCTGGAGGAGAATCTCACTAAAAGTGAGCAGGAGGGGCAGGAGGCGCATAAGGTGGTGGAAGAGCTCCAGCGGGAGAAGGAGGAGTTGTTGTAAGAGGACCTGAGTGACAACTGCATCGTCAGCGAATGTCACGTAACAGGACGGCGAAGGAAGATCTGATCACAAAGTGCTCCAACATGGAGGAAAAAATCAAAGATTTGGAGGAGTCCATGCTGAAAATGAGAGAGTTGGAGTTGGAAGTGAGCAGGTTGAAGGCCCACAAGGCAGAGGTAAGTTGACGGTGGCGCGTGGGCTACTCGACTGCGATGTTTCAGGAGCCCGTAGCGGCTCCTGTTAAGCCTTCACGAGAGGATGTATCGGCTGAAGTGGAGGCGGCTAAACGCGAGGCTATTGCGGTTGTGGAGGAGAAGGCATCTCGATTGGAGGGAGAGGTCGCTGATTTGAAGAGGGAGCTTCAGGTGGGCCTCGGAGATTCGATACCAACTAAATATCTGGTTGGGGCTCCAGTGTGATACAGTATCTAGTCTTGGAATGTGCACGTTTTACATTGTCGATGGATGAGGAGCACTTGGTGTGGTATTAGACGAGCTGGGGTATCAGGTCACCCGTATGATTTCTGCGGCATTCTTCCCTTGGTGAACTTGTGAGTTGTTTTTCTGATGTCTCAGGAGCGCAGAGAGCAAATAAGGTGTCAGCGGCAGGCCTATGTGGCGTTGGAGGAGCAGTTTCGACTCAAGGCTGAAAGGGACGAGAGCAGGGTGACAGAGCTTACTGCTCAGCTAGGGAGCGAACGGAAGATGAGTAAGCTTTCATGAATCTTGGTAAAGAACTTTATACTCCTTCCGCGAGGATTTTCTGTAGCTCTTTGTGTCACCACCTGTCTGTTCATCTGAATACAGATTTCACTGCTTCGATTGTCAGCTAGTTGGGAATCCTGTCGTTGGTTCTACTTCGACTATGCGTAGGGATGTGCTTTCGTGACGTTGTTTCTGTGATGCCCTCAGAGGAGGCCGTAGAGGCTAAGCTGCGGAAGGTTGAAGAGGAGTTGGACAAGGAGAAGGTCTCAAGCCGAGAATTACGAACAACAGTTGAGGACAGGGACAGGGTGGTGGCGCTGGAGGCAGCAGGGAGGGAGCGAGAGATCGAGGAGCTGAGGAGGGAGCTTAACAAGGCGAAGGAAGAGGCTCATAAGCATAGGAAGGCTCTGAGGTGGGTCGCCTTGGTGAATTTGGGAGACGTTTTGTGAGTTGTTCAGAATGGTAGAATTGGAGGTCACTAAAGACATAGAGCGGATGGTGACGGAGCACGGTAAGCAGCGAAGTAAGCAACAAGAAGAGCATGAGGCGGAGGTGAAGGCGCTGAGGGATGTCCATGAGAAGGAAGTGAATCGGCTGAAGGAGGAAATAGCCGGCAAGGAGAAGGAGGTCGTGGGCCTAGCTGCAAGTGTGGAACATGAAATGACCAAGGCTAGGGAATTCAAGGTGATTTTTTGGTCTACACAACGTGTTATCTCGACTATCGACGATCAGGAGGCGACTTCGGCTCTGAGGAAAGATCTCCTCGTGGCATGCAAGCAGTTGGAGAAGGAGGTCCAACAAGAGGGAATACTGCAGAAGAAGGTGCAGGGGCTCCAAGCGGAGCTCGAGAGGCTCAAGGTGGAGACCGAGAGTGAGAGAGGGGAGAGGAGTAGACGAATGGAGGAGTATGAAGCAATGGTGGGTCTAGGGATGAGGTGGACGGTTGGTATCTCCTGAAGGAAGGTATCGGAGCTGAGGAAGAAAGCGGCAGATGCTGAGAGGGCGAGAGAGGCTGCGGAGGCTATCCGATGTAATTATGATGAGAATATGAAAGGTGCCCGTCGACGCGAAGAAGAGCTGGAGAGCAAGGTAAAGGGTCTAGAGGAGCTGGTAAGAAGGGGAAGGAAGCATTACGCTTCGCAGCTGTCTCGAAAGGTACGGAAACACGCAATCGAAGCAACAGTGAAGGAGAGGATGGTAGCAGACAGCGCAGAGCACGTGAAGGCTCTGAAGAAGCAAATACAGGGCCTAGAGGCCGACCTGGAGCAGTGCCAGAAGGAGAGGAAGAAGCGAGACAGGTGAGTGCTTGCTGTAGACTGCAACAAGAAGTCGTTGGTCGGAATAGGGATTGGCAGTCCTTACTCGATGAAGAGGTTAGTAAGGCTGATCGAGCCAGGGATAAACTCGCACCTACAGAAGAGAAGTTGGCTGCGGCAGAGGGGGAGGTGGGCCTCATGCAGTGGACGAGGTGAACATGCTCATCTCTACCGATCAGGTTGAAAGGCTCCGCGAGGAAGTATCACAGAAAGATGAATCGTTACGGTATGTCACTTCTGAGGTGGAAGAGATGCGGAGAGCAATGCAGGAGGATACTGATATCAAAGTGGCAGAGGTGGAAAGAAGACTCAACCGTGAGCATGAGAAGGTGAGAGGCCACTGTGTTCAACTATATCTATGACGTGCTTGCTTTTTTTGACGAAGTCGCCAATCAGCTGTGTCAGGCAGGAGGTTTGCTGCATATTAGTGTTGGATGTGTTTTTTCAGAGTCTGTTAGAGCTCGACAGGAGAATAGAAGAGGCACAGCAGCGGAACGATCGAGAAGTGGCCAGGCTGTCCCGTGATCGGGAGGTGCGTGAGCTACTCGAACCTATGACACATGGAATATTTTATCGCCTGCAGGCTATGAAGCGTAGGGCGCATGTGGCAGAGGAGCGTGTGAAACACGTGGAAAAGGAGCTGAGGACTGTTCTCAACGAGTAGGAGCATGTTGTTCTCGAGCCGACAGAACTGTTACTTCGTGACTCCCACTCTACAGCTCTCAATCGTCAAGAATTGCAATATACTTGTTCCGGCCTATCAGATATGAGCATTTGAAAGTTCAATGCGAAGCGAAGATGCGACGGGCGGCCGATCTACTCCTTGAGAGCGGCCTGACATGACTTGAGTCTTT